AGCAAAAGAGATGAGATGTCCAGTACATAGGATGTAGGCAATGTGATTAAGTGTCTTAAAATAATTTGCAATGATGTTGGGTAAAGCTTCAGTTCAAGTCCTTCAGCGGTTATCCTAATTAGAGTTCAAAAGCATCTCAGCAGCCTGCTTTACTCTGGACTTCCAGAAAATCAAACTTCTCACACTGTCGGACAGACTGAGCCCAGAAGCCTTTCGGATGTAAAAAAAAGAGCTTTACTTTTCCACTGAAGTGGCTTGGATAAACCATGAAACATCAGCTTTAAATAACAAGTCCAGTTGAATATGACTAAATACTACCAGCTATTCCATGACCTAGATAAATTCGAACCTTCATAGATATCCAAGTCTTGTTCAATCAAATTTTTCTCCATAGGGGATTAGGATGTAAAGGTACAGAGCGTATGATAGGACCTATTTAAGGAGTATGAATTATAGCTGTAATACACAGGCTTATTTGCATTCATTGTCAAAACATGACAATACTTCATAAGAATTTAGCAGTATCCCCAAAATTAAAGGTAAATATATACCCTTTCTCACAATGGTAGAGATATCCAACAAAAAAAATGAAAAGGGTTTCTAGAGCTAATAATAGCCATAGTATTTTACATTGCTGTTGAATCATGAAGTTTCTTTATAATTAGCAGTGCATACAATCTGAAAATCAACTTGACAAATGCTTAATTGTGAAGAAATTTTACAACCTATAGGGATGATGGGAGAGGAAGATTGTCTACAGATTATTCAAGCTTAACTAATGTAACATTGCTGTAGCTTCACATTCTATTCCAGTATTGGGCATGCCCTGTTATACACTAGCATTACTGTGACCCAGCTTGGCAGTGCAATGTTACAGAAGAGACATAGCCATACAGCCAGGAGGGGAGCTTGTAAAAAAAAAAAAAGAAACTGGCAACCTTTTAATTTGTTGTCCTTTTGTAACCAGATTACAGCTACTCTGAAAATGTGACAGATGAATGGAGACTAGTTTTCTTTTTAGAAAATCGGCTCCTTGAAGTGTGCCAGCATGAAGACTGAATCAGTGGTTAGCTAATTGCCATTTATGATTTATTTGAAATATACTGTTTTTCTGAAATCTTCAAAAAGTATCTCAATTAATTGGTGTATACGTTCACATTCTTTTTAATATTTAATGGTAGCTCAACTTTCTGCAATTTTGTTGACTGATCTCCTTCAAATATAGTTTTTCACGCAGTTGGAAGGCTTCGCTTCTCTCCGTTTGGGATTATGTCTTAGCATGCTGCTGATAGATTTAGAACATCCCTATCAGGATTTCAAGCTCTTCCAGCGTATTGCACCTTGAAGTGGAAATAACTTCTCCCTATATAAATATTTCACGTCCATCTTGCTGTCTTAATCCCAGTTAGAGAGTTGGAGTGGAATAGAATATAATTGACTTCATGCTTTTTTTCTCTTCCAGCAGTGTTTAGATTTAAATCCCCTTTTCAAGGTCTCGTTGTTTTTTTTTGCCTAATGCTGATGGGATTCTAATGGTGTTCACCTGCAGGATTCTTCAGATACCCATCAGCACAATGTGCTTTGAACACATTAGGATAAACCTGTCTGCTGCTGTTTATAAACTGTAAGATTTCTCAGACAAAAATGCAGCTCTAGCTATGCTGAGATCCATTCATCCAAGACTGTTCTCTACATGGGAAGGATTTTTAGCTGACTTTATTGCACATTCTTGGGTTGACCACACAAGGGGAGTTTAGAAAGATTCAGCTAGCATTTGTACATTCAAGAACAGTCAACACATATTCTTTATCAAAATGGCCTTAAAGGAGAACTATGGGGTAAGTGTTTTCCCCCATAGTTCTCCTAAGGGTCACGGGAGGACATAAACTAGCATCCTCCCATGACCCAAAGCTCAGTATATCGTGAGCTACAGCTCGCGGTATACTGAGGCAGCCGGGATGGATCCCGACATTACTGTCGAGATCCACCTAGCTGCGTGAGTGACAGCTGGCTTTTCCTATCTAGAGGCAGAGCCAGCTGTACCCGCCCCCTCCCCGTCTGTTCCGCCAGTCAGCGCTGGAAGATCGGAGAGGGGGGAATCCCTGCAGGGAGCCGTGACAGTCACAGCTCTCTGCAGGGACATGATCGAGAAGTGAGCGAGCGACGGTATGCGTTCGCTCACTTCCCGATCTATTGAGCCGACGTGTGACAGTTTAATTGTCGCACATCGGCTCGAACTATGAGGTTGAGTGAAAATCACTCGCCTCATAGTTCTCCTTTTAAGTGAATGAACAACAAAAACACACTTTGTGACCTGTGTGATTTTCAGAGTAATGAAGCCCTCCTTTCTAATCCTTTAGAATTTGAGCAATAGTAGAGGTACAGTATTTTAGTGTGCACAAAGCACTGCAAATGATCCTTATATTAGCCTACTGTACCAAAGTATAAGCACATAAACAAAAAGGAGCAAGACTGCGATCTTTCCAAAAGGATGAATCTGTGTTTTAAAAAAGCAGGAGGTGTACAAATGTAGCAAACAAAACTTTTCAAAGTCGCTCTGCTTCTTAGTGTATTCAGTAAGAGTTATTGTCAAGCTAACCAATACTGCTCAAATTGATCTAGGTTCCAATGATGTTTCGTTAACTTTACAGTAAGAACTGAAAAAAAAACTTGCAGTCAGCTGACCCTAGAACTCTACCTGCTCGCTGTACACTGTATGCAAAATTTCATATTTATGCAGATGGGTGCCAGAGGCCGTACAACCTAAAATTCGGGAGTATTTCCCTCCTTGGAGCCACAGGTGCTGCAGACAGCCGCCCATAGAAATCAATTGCCGCAGGCAAGTATACATTGGTAATTGGATAAACACATGTGCATAACATTTTACACTCCTGGATGCAGACTGTATGTACCTGGGCTCGTACGTCTGTATGCATGCACGTATTTACACAGGTATTGGCGTGTACCCGTATACAGCCGTTGATTTCTATGGGCGGCTGTATGCAGCACCTGTGGTTCTCAGGAGCAGAAATACACCTGAGTTTTATGTTGTATGGCCTCAAGCACGAGTGTGCATGAGCCCTTAGCTGAAGTAAAAACTAAAACAAATTGTAACCTCTACTCTTTAACATAATACATATAAAATGTACACATACACTGTACATTCCAAGTAAAAAAAACTAAACAGGACTGTTCCTTTTAAGGGCTGTCTTGACCAATTCTAGAGAACTTTTTGGAGTGTGTATGACTTTATGAGAAATGCATTATTTCTAAAAAGAATGTGTGATCCGCGTGGCGGCCTCTGCGAATTGTTTTGATAGAACAAGATTGCTTTGACTGCTGTGTTCAGGCTATTTAGTTTAAAGGTTGTAGAGAAAGAGAACAAAACATACCATATCTTTGTTCACAATTACAAAAGCATGTCCAGACAAGTTCATTAAAAGTTGTGTTTTTGTTTTGGATTTTTTTTTTTTCTTTCAATCTATCATTTATAGGGTGCATTTCAGTAATATATATTGGGGACTCTATAAGTGATATTTTACACTCTGTTTCCCCTTTTATTGTCACAGAGGATGGTCAAAGCTGAAAATCTTTGCACCACCACTAGATCCAGGAGGAACAGGCGTCCAGTGTGACATTCTTTTGGCATTTAAAGTGAATAGGTCAGGACAGCAATATGGGAATTGCCATTGCTCTTTAGCTTCAAATCATGAGAATATTAAGAGCTGGGAGGAGTCTTGCTATCCTTTGTGATGGACCCAGCTTGATTTGGAGGTAGCTTATTGGCTTCTGGTTGGGCAGCTTAAAGACGCACAGCCTCCAAAAGGAGATATTGGGAGCGACTCAGGGACAGAAAACAGAAGAGCGCCAGACCAAAATGGATATCGGGGTCCATAAAAATGTATAGCAGTGTATTAAAATAGGATTTAAAAGGAAGAGCAGCAAAGAGAAGGGAAACTACCATGGATTACAGTAAGGCACACATTACAGTATTGGTTTATGTAAAAAAATCTGAGGGTTTAATGTCACTTTAAGCCCTTACAAAAATGAGCAACTCCCAAGGAAATGAAGACACAGGTTTAGCTGCTTATATCCTTGGATTTACTGATCCTATTGACAGGCAGTTTACACTGAAGGTAACATCTGCTCATGCATCTGTTTTTAATCATACGCTCAGTTTGAATTGCTCAGGTTTGTGACAGGTCTAATTTGGTGCTTCTTACCACCCATGCCCATCAAATAAAAAGGCCCCTAATTTTCAATAGTACACACTGTCAATGAAAATGTTGCTGCATCAGACACGGGTCTTTTTTTAAAAATGTTCTTCCATTGTGTTGCATTGCCTTAAGCTAGGCATCGTTCAGTCTTTTCAATTGTTTGCAATGCCTGTGGCAAAGGAAATAAGGTGACAGAGACTAGGCAAAAAAGAAAATTAGTCCTAACAGAAAAAAAAAAACCTTCTGTTTTTCAGCAAAATTAGACAATTGCAAGTGCTGGCAGTATTCAGTTTTGGCGTTTTGCCCTAATGGGCTCTCTATCTGCTATTTCCTACATAAGGCATCTGACATAAATGTTTAGCTTGTGAAAGAGACAGCTGTCTGAATAGATCAACAGTGTACATAGTTGTGCTGCTGTAAAAGGTATTATTAAAAGCAAGCAAGATTTCAAATGAATCAATAGGTAATGGGAGCATGAAGGCTAAGAAGCGCAGTAACATGGGGAATGATTGCACATTCCAACATAGTTTATAGTGGGCCAGCATCTATATACCGGAAATTTACTGCAGAGTTAATCATTAACACTGTCCGCTATTGCCTGGACTCGGCAGCTTGTCAGTCTTGTGGTGTTGTACACAAATGCTCTTTTTAGCTCCTTTTTGTAAAAAAAAAAAAAGCATTCTAGAAACAGTTTTCTGTATTTTTTTCCATCTTCAAGCATATCATATTGTTTTTTATTTTCTCCAATTAATGTCTTTAAAACAAACTATTTTTATTTTTCAGTGCATATTCAACATGGTGGTAGAGGTGCCACGATGGACAAATGCAAAGATGGAGGTCAGTTTTAGTATCTTTTCGTTCATTTGTTTTCTTTTTTTAGGTTGGCCATATATTTGTTGATCACATACACTTGTAATCACACTGTCTGAAAGTATATGGGGGGCCAAATCAGTAATATATTTGGATGTACATGGCCAAATCAGAACAACTGAAATACTTGGCATCCATAACAGTCTTAGGGCCTGTGTCAATGGGATTCAAGCAGGTTTTGCTTTACCATACAAGTCTATAGGAGTTCAAAACCCAATTGAAGCAGGTCAGTAGAAGGTCAGCTGTACCTGTCAAATCAGAAGAATCTCAAACTAGAGTCAAACTGATGCCATTAACACAAGCCGAAAGCCCATCATCATAAGCCCCTATATATCTGATCAGAGGTTAATATTAACTGCAAATGGAAGCAGACATAGTCGCTGTACAACCAGGTTTTCCGTAACAGCTTTTCGATATCTGTGCAGATAATGGAGTTGGAGTCATTTTCTTCACATGAACTGGCTATGTAGCCACAGATAAGGTAAAATGTCCTGTTCACTAAGGAAAAAATTCTACATCTCCTGTGTGGATTCATAATTTATAGGTAAAAGGGTGACCTAGACACACATTATGGCTACAAATAGGCCATCTTTTGGGTAACACCGCTAACTCTAGCTATGAAAGTGACCCATTCTGTTGCTTGTATCTTCTTTTATATGGGAATGCATTGCCTGACATCTACCAGGCATAAGATAAATGACATGTGCATTGGAACAACTAATAAAGTGTTTCATATCATGTGCTTTGTAATAAGAATTTTCCCTGTAAAATTTGTAATTGATGTTGGTAGGGATGCACCGATACTAGTATCGGTGCCAATATCGAGTATTTGTTCCGATACCTTTCCTGATACTGGAACTTCCGGTCAGAGGGAGATTTCCTCTGACCGCCAGTGCCGCGAGGGAACATGGAGCCGGGAAGCCGTCTCCATGCTGTTTGGCTGGCTCGATGCTGATTGGCCGGGAAGCCGGCTTCCCACCCAGTGCCGCGAGGGAACATGGAGCCAGGAAGCCAGCTCCATGATGTTTGGCTGGCTCAATGCTGATTGGCCGGGAAGCCGGCTACCCAGCCAATCAGCATCGAGTCAGCCAAACAGATCTGATTATATGATTACAACCTCCCCCCTGCAGACCCCTCATTGCAATCGCATTGATCCTCAGCAGCAGTCATCACCATACCACAGATGTCCCTCGGCCGGACACCGCTCTCCAAGCCGCTTTACCATCGCCTGACTCTGGTACAGCTAGCACTGCCTGCTTGATGCTGTTAGAGGATTTATAAATGCGAGCGCTGGGCAGTCTGCGCAGTAGCAGGCTAAGGGCTGATTATGCAGGTAGTGCGGGCGCTGTACACACAGGAGATGTGGCAGATCCGGGAGAGCTTGGAGAGCGGTGAGGGACATCTGTGGTACGGTAATGACTACTGTTGAAGATGAATATGCGTGTGTGGAGAATGGGGTGTCTGCAGGGTGGAGGTTGTGTCACAATATTATCAGATCTGTTAGGCCGGCTCAATGCTGATTGGCTGGGAAGCCAGCTTTTCGGCCAATCACCATTGAGCCGACCAAACAGCATGGAGCCGGCTTCCAAGGCAATCAAGAAGCCGTGTGGTGGGTAATGACACGCCGCGTGGCTGCCTGATTGCCCGCGAAGCTGGCTCTATGCTACCGGAAGTACCAGTATCGGCATTTAAATATCGGTACTCATACTCGATACCAAAAAAAACGGTATCAGTGCATCCCTAGATGTTGGTCTAGATCAAAAATTATTTAAAATATTTTGCTCATCTAAACACACAGGATGACTTATTCAGAAATGTGTGTTGTAACGTTTTAATTTGTTCTAATGGCATATCTGATACTATAATAAATGTTCTTTTCTTCTACTTTTAATTAAAACATCCATTACATCACATTTCTCTCTCCCTTGATTGATGTAAAAATCCAATACTATAAAAAATGTACACTTAAGAGCCTTAAAGTGGATCTGAATTTACAGTTCTGGTACTGGCTATGGTGGGTTTCATAGGACTGAACAAGTACCGGCCTGTTAATCAGACTCCACTCCCTGTGATCTGCTAATGTTTTGTCTGCATAATTATGGGATACCTGAGTCATTCACAGCTGCAGAAGGTAATGCAGTAAAGTTGACAGTGGCAGGTCAGCATTAGTTGGTGATGTGTGGTCTCTCCCCCTCTCTCCTCAAATCCACAAGATAAGATACCTAAAATGAACCTATGCTTTAACCATACAGGGCAAAGAAACATGTTCAGTATAATGGCAGCCCCTTGCCTCTGCATATGGTCCAGAAGAAGGCCCGTGTTAGCCGTTGAGTTGAGAGAGAGGGAAAGCCCATAAAAAGAATAAGTACATCTTCAAGAGATATGCATTGATACAACAGCCCTCTCAGCAGAAATCTAAATGGAGAGAGGTAGGAAACCGTCATTTGGAAAAAAGAAGAGTAGTAATCCTAAATCCCTTCAAAAGAAAGGGTAAGGTTTGTCAGGTCCAGTAGCCAAGCCCTTGACCGATTTGACAAAGTAGGACCTTCCACGAGTGGTTAGGTGGACCCCAAAATGTGAAGTGGCCTTCAACGCATTAAAACAGGCCCTTACTGACTCCTATGCTACAGGCCCCTGATTTCCAAAGAAAGTTCACAGTAAAACTGATGCCTCTAATTATGGGCTGGGAGCTGTATTGAGTCAATTGGACCCTATTGTGTACCGTAGTAGGAAATATTACCATGGGAAGTGGCTTATGCCACCGAGCAAAAACATTGTCTCACAATTTTTCTGGGCACTGCAAAAAGTGATTTTATTAACCAATGAAGTAAGTCACATGGCCACTTGGAGTAGTACGCATGCGTGACAAGGTTAGGCAGGGAGGAGTATACACTGTAATGCAAACTGGCATACAAGACATTAGGACAAAAAAAATGGAGACCTTCCAAGTCCTACCCAAAGGTGTGTCAGGGTCTCTATTTTACAATGTTCTCTGCATATTAACACACTAGACAAAGCTTGTGCTACAAACCGTTAATGTAAATATTTGGTAAGAAGAATTTTCCAAGAGACTGAGGATAACAAATCAGAAATGATCGTCTTAATTCTCTTTCTCTTTGACCCGTTTTCCCCCAGCAAAAACATGTATCTTTGTTTTCACTCGATTTCCTCTCTCTGTGATATTGTTAACATCTGATTCTTGTAGAATTGTTGTTAGGGTTATTTTATTTGTGCTGCTAAAAGAAATGAATTCAGCTGATTTTTATTAAATTTGCAGATTGCCACAAAAGACCCTTTGAATCCCATAAAACAAGATGTGAAAAAAGGCAAACTGCGTTATGTGGCCAATGTTTTCCCTCACAAGGGTTATATATGGAATTACGGAGCTCTTCCACAGGTAATAACATGCATCTGCTGCCATCAGTTTTGTATGAACCTCACATTTAACAGTAAGACCCTGTTAGATATTCTCTGCAGGTATTTTATTTAACAAGGTAAACACTTTTTTTCTTGTAAAAGATGAAATGTTTTATTTAGCAACTTGGGAAACTGTCTGAAGGAGTCTGTTAAACCCTATACTTGTGTCAAAGGATTCCCAAAAGCAGCCTTGTAATAAAACTTACTTTTTTTAGAATTCTATTGCTGTGGCTTTCTTCCTCTAGTAAATTTTCTATTCGTGTTTTTATTATGGGTTTACTTTCCTATAATAGCGTGTACTCCTCACTGTGAAGAGTGGCGTTTCTGGCTTTCCACTCTAACCCTCTCATTACATGGCACAGAAAGCACTTTTAATGCAATGCCAAAATACATAATGCTGGTGGTAGGAAAACTCCATTCATAAACATCTAAGGATAGAAAAATATTATTTGTAAATTTTTTACATTTTGCTACAGCAAACGATCATCAGACCTACAATCATTTGGAATTTTTTATGAATCAATGCAATACTGGATCACATTTTTCAGTCCATGCTACTCCAGCATGAAACGTGCTCCAGACCAGTTGGATGTTTCTGTTTCAAGAGCCAGCCTGCCCACAAGAAAAGTAATAGGCAGTCATTGTTTGTAGGCTGCTGGTGCATCACTAACTTATCCACACCCACGAATGAAAAAGTGGATAGAAGATGATCATTAGGCCACAGGGACAGAAAGAGTTAGCCTTTACTTCTTTCAAAGTGAAATAAATGCTTTTAAGTAGACTTAAAATCAAATCTGTTTTTCTAGCTTTGGATAGAGTGATAAAGGGTTAACACCTGTGCCATGTTTTAATTGTGGCCTGTGTATATTTACCTGATATGAAGATAGAAAAACAATTAATAAAATATGTAAACTGGCAGTGCGGGCAGCTAAAATTGAATGTGAAAAATATATCGCCGAAGTTAGTATAGGGGAGAAAGGAACAGATAGGCCCAATAAAGGACATAAATGGGTCGTTACTCACAAGCGACAGGGAGAGGGCCGAGGCGCTAAATACTTTCTTCTCGTCGGTATTCACCAAGGAAACAGACGGGTTTAATGTACATGATAAAACACATAATTTAACAGGAAATACACCTTAGTGGTTGACTGAAACTGGGATACAACATAGGCTTAAACTACTAAATGCAAATAAAGCATTAGGACCTGATAATCTACACTCCAAGGTACTCAAAGAACTGAACAAGGAAATAACGAGACCACTGTTCCTCATTTTTAAGGAATCAGTAATGGCTGGTAGAGTGCCAATGATTAAATGTACGGTAATGCACCTTGGAGTTAAAAATAGGCAAATGGACTATACTCCTTATGGGTGTGCCACTAGGGAAGTCCAAAACGGAGAAGGATTTGGGGGTCATTATAGACCGCAGACTGAAGAATAGCTTGCAGTGCAAGACTGCTGTAAACAAAGCAAACAGAGTCCTGTCTTGCATTAAGAAGGGAATGTATTGCAGGGACAAGTCTATAATTTTGCCACTTTACAGATCACTGGTTCGGCCACATCTGGAGTATGCGGTCCAGTTTTGGTCACCAATACTCAGAAAGGATGTCCTTGAGCTGGAAAAAGTCCAGAAGAGGGCAACCAAACTCATTAAGGGGTTCGAGGATCTGAACTATGAAACAAGGTTGTTAAAATTAAATATGTTCTCGTTGGAGGTTAGGAGATTATCATGTATAAACTATTCAAGGGTGACAGCAACCTTAGTAACAAACTGTTTACGGTCAGCTCCGTAAAACAAAGACCAGAGGGCACAACCAAAAATTGGTGGAAAAAAATTTCAACACACAGGGCGCAGGGGGTTCTTCACAGTTAGAGCGGTTAAGGTCTGGAACTCGCTGCCACAGGAAGTGATTTCAGCTAAGAGTGTGGAATCATTCAAGAGACTCCTGGACTAGTTCCTGGGAGACCGTAACATAAAGGGGTACAGGTACTGCTAAGAGAAAAATCACACATGGACACATATACATGCACACACCAGCCCATAAATGCATACATGCAATAGGTTGGACTTGATGGACTTATGTCTTTATTTAACCTCAATACTATGTAACTATGTAATTGTACTGATCGTAAACCAAGAAAATAACCCAAAAGCACTATGCATTCACTTCAAAGTGAAATTTGCCTGATAGAAATATGGGATTTTAAGACGTTGTTTTAAAAACTTCAGAGTCTTGGACTATAATTGTTTTTCCTCTGGCTTTTACATTTTAGTAAGACTGTTCCCAGAGAAGTCTGCAGGTCAGTTGTTATGACTTCACTGACTACATACGAGGGGAGGCCAATAAGTTCTTACCTTCAGTATGATCTACATGTGCTAGGGATCTGAAATTTTGCAGGTTTATAGGTGGATATCTTCAATGCCAATTTTTGTTTCTGCCCAAATAATCGATCTGCAAAAACTGTCACGTTTTTGTTCGCGATTGTGGCTATGAATCTCTGCCCCATCCACCTTACTCACCTGACCTGGCACCTTCGGACTTCTTCCTGTTTCCAAATCTGAAGAAACAGATTTCCCTTGAAGATGGAGGAACCTAATCATGGCTCGGTATTCAACTTTGTCCGGCATGACACCTACTCCGTTTCTCTTGGCTCTAACTATAATTCACCACGACCTACAAAAACAAACATTGGCATGCATATTACTAAGATATCCACCTATAAACCTGCTTATTGGCCTCCCCTCGTACAGTACATACATTTGCAAAGTGGCTGAGAGACGTACAATGACCGTTTAGGGGCTTGCAGCTTATAGGATAAATAGGCAGAAACAGCAGTAATTTGTCTTTCATGGCAGCTTTACTTGAGTGTTTCCAATAAATGTAATCATTTTCTGTATCAATATTCTTTATTATTTTTTCTCATAAAAATAGAACATGGTAAGGCACAATTGGAAACCATGCAAATACAGACAGCAAAGGTAATGACAAGTGCATTTAAAGAAACACATGCCTGAAGAACATATGATATTCACAGGACTGTAAATAGGCTATGGCAGATCAGTCAAGTGGTAGTTGGGATGATCCCGTTCCACCATAAGGTTCTCCTGGATGGTTGTCTCTAAAGCCAATCAAAAGTATCTGAAAAATCGCTTCTGAGCAAAGCATGATTAAAATACTATTCGTATGGAATTATTCTCACCTTTTCTAGGGCATACGTGCAACAGGTATTTCAAATTCTATATTTTGGATACGTTTCTTCCGGCCATGATTTGTCTATCCTATGTTTTTCAAGTGTAAATGAATCGCATTATATGCTGAGAAATATTCATATTTAAAGGTATCTATGTACTTGCCTTTTCCTTTTTTTCACAGCCTCAAGAATTGTGGCATTTGTTTTTTCATTTCAGCACCTCATATGAACGATAAGCCACAAAATAATTGCTGTTCTCCAACATTTCACCCGTAGGAATAGTGTAGTTAGTATTCTCTTTATGTGTGTTTTCATACACTTCCTTTTCTTTAACTGCAAACAGAGTTCTTCCAAATCTGCAAAGTTCAAGAAAAGGTCCCTCAACATACTTGATTAGTTAAGCGCAGAGATACTTTTTTTTTTTTTCATTGAAAAACTTTAACAGGGTTATTCACAAAAGGATGAAGAGTTTGGAGAAGTCAGGAGAAGTGAACAATCTAGGCCAAAATAGCTGATTTGGAAAAATTCTCCAATTCAGCTCACTTTCCAGTTCAGCTACCGTGTTTCCCCGAAAGTAAGACCTACCCCGAAAATAAGACCTTGCGCTATCTTCGGGGATTTGTGTAATATAAGATCTAGCCCGAAAATAAGACCTAGTTCGGTGGTAGGTCTTATATTACAGACATCCATCGTGAAAAAAAAGAAATAAGACACTGTCTTATTTTCGGGGAAACACGGTATGTTGTCCTAGATTGTTCATTTCTCCTGCCGTCTAAAGCTGCCCACACACCTTACAATTTATCTGCAGATTTTCTGTGGTCAGATGGAAAAGGTGCAAGAGATTCCTCCATCTACACTTAACTGTGTGGATAGAGGAATCTCCACCTGGGCCAATCTGTTGCACTTTTTCCATCTGACCACAGAAAATCTGCAGATAAATTATAAGGTGTGTGGGCAGCTTAACTCTTCACCCTTTTGTGAATAACCCTGTTAATGTTAAGAATTAGTCTCCAGATAATTGGATTTTTTACCATTAAATATGTGAAACATGCTTAATATATTGGTCAACATATTGTACGCTAAAGTTATTTTCAGGAAGATGCTGGTCCATGTTTTGTTCTAAACCTGATAAAGTAACAAAGACCTGTTCTGAAGGGCAGTTGTAATACCAAATATATCCGTCTAGGATCAGTACTAGGAAAATAATATATTGCCAGTAATGTCCATTATTATAACTAAGAGAACCAAAGGGGGTACTGAATCTTCAGTTCATAGGTTATCTGGACAAAAGATGGCATCCAGCAATGATATAGTAGATCTAGTTTCTGTGAAGTGATATTCAGCAAAAGAAAAAGCACTCTGCTACCATCTATATAACAAAGTATCTGCAACCTAAATATTAAAGCCTTATAACACTAAAGTCTAGTGAGGTAGAATTCCACACTTTACATTACTTTATATATTATTTACAGAAAAAAACATTACAGCTTTTAATGCATATCTGCATTATTTGGCATTCGACTACACCTTCTACTTTTTGGTTAGGAAAAGAGGCTTGGCTTGTGTACATGACCTAGCCATGGAACAATGCTTTCGCACTACATTTACTGGCATCGAAAAGTGGTTTTCAAGTTGAAAAACTACATGCCACTTTAAGTACATCCTGGTGTGATTTATTAACAAGTACCCCTGATGTGTGGACAATGTATTACCGGTACCCCATGAATTGTGTTGCAAACATTATACTTGTTTTTGTGATGTTTAAATAACTTAAGTTACTTCCTCTGG